GAAATGCTAGTGACTCAAAACAAAAACAGAACTCCTCATTTCCTGATATTTGATCTAAAAGTTGATTCTGATGTTATTTCTGTTCATCCTAGTTTACGCAGTCTAATGTACCGAGAGCCTCACTGGTTCGTTTAAACCCACCATGACAGACTACTAGCTGATTTTAGTCACAGGTCAGAGCTTTTAAACGCTCTCTTATCACTGCTCTTATTAACACAGCTGTCATCATGGAGCGCCCATGACTGAGACCTCTTTGTGTCCATATTTACCCCTAAATTAGTTCACCAACTATCAGGTTTCGGGGCAGTTATTAAATGCTCTTATCATGACCGGCTCTCAGGACTTCAGATTTAGACGCTGATGTCACCATAAAGGTCAGAGAGCTTTGTGTGGCCTACAGGAATATGTGAATCACATCTGTGAGGTCAGCAGGTCTCAGACGGCCACGGAGCATCTCTGTTCCTTACTGACCTTTTCTCTGTGATATTGTATTTCAGGTCACTAGAGACAGGAAGCTGAAAGCCTAAACCTGTGTTGTTTTTGGACCAAGGATGACATGAGGATGAGAGGGCTTTTCTGAAGGTGGGTGGGCTTTAGACATGGGTTTATTTGACCCTTTAAATGCTTATTTCCTTTCAAAAAGCCTGAATTTTATGCTTTTATTGGTTAGCATATCAAATTTTGAGGATCTGCTAGAAGTTTGATGTTAGAAAACAAGATTATTTCATGTAAATTACTCCCTGATGCATTTTTCTGTTATTTTTATTATTTTGTAAAAAATTAACTGTTTCTTGGATTACAACTAGTCCTGAGTAAAATGAGTAAAATGGCAGCTATGATAAGAAGTCATCAAAGACGTAAAATGTTCTTGTATGTATCATCTCCATAGTTTTATGCAACATTTAGAGACCATGCAGAGTACTTGAACTCTGATAGCATTCTCTTGTGATCCAAAAGGAAGTTTAGACGGAGCCAAACGGGTTTTAGATGAAAACCAGATTAAAGAAAATAAAAAAGTTCCAAAGCACTCGGTTCTCCAGTATGGAGCACTGTCTTCTATAACCAACTCCTGCCTGGGCATCTTGTTATCAGGATGATTTTAGGTTGATGTGACAGAAAGAAGCCACTTAACCCTCTTTTCAGACCGACAGCCAGAGAGGATTAGAGGGATCAGATGGCTGCAGTAGACTCCTTTGTGTCTGTTCACATCATCTTCTGGTTGTAAGGAGTTATCAGAAGATGAACTGGAGTACATGGTAAAGAAATCCCTTTCTATGAAACATTTCCAAAAGTTATCCCTTTATTTACATGTTAAAAACTTTTATTTATTGCCTCCATGTCTCAGTCTGTTCTGTGAGAGTAAACTGAAGCTGATACAAACTTTTCTATTTTACACTAAAGTGAGCCGTTAGAAGGTTTAGATCAGTTAACTGCTGTTCTCGGTTTCTCCACATGCCAGGAGCTCTTTACATCCCAGTTGCGTAATCTTCAACACAGCAAAAACAAAAAAGCATGGCTTTGGTAAATGGCCTTCTAGAGTCCTGGAACCCCCCAAGGTGCTTTACAATACAATCAGTCATTCACACATTCACACACTGGTGGGGATGAGCTACACTGTAGCCACAGCTGCCCTGGGGCGCACTGACAGAGGAAAGGCTGTCGAGCACTGGCGCCACCGGTCCCTCTGACCACCACCAGCAGGCAATGCGGGTTAAGTGTCTAGCCCAAGGACACAATGACAGCGACTAACTGAGCGAGGCTCAAACCTGCAACCTTCCGATAATGGGGCGAGCGCTTAACTCCTGTGCCACCGTCACCCCATCGCTTTGAAGTGATCTGCACTCTGAAAACAACATCTGTGGCAATAAAGACCTCACTGGGGCCTCACTTTTAAAGCTTGCTTATGCACAAAACAGGGTCTGGAAGTGGTGTAAGTCACTTTCAGACGTTGTGAAGTACAAATGTGTGCAACTTTAAACAAACTCAGACTCTGGCTTAAAGCACTCGGAGGGGGAAACTGGCAGGTGAGATAGCAAAATGGTAACTTGTAAACACACACACACACACACACACACAACCAATGATCAGCCACATTACCCATCTCACAAATGAGAATAAAAATGAGAACCTGAATGGAAAGATGTTGAGACTTCTTCTCTTAACTTGCAAAAATAAAGAAACCCTTCTGGAAAGCTCAAACTGCCCACAGTCAGTTAACAGCTTCTCTGCATCAGTGCTTTCGCCCAAGCACTGATGGATCAGGACACTGGAAGCTTTAAGGACGCTGTAGTACAAATGCAAGGTAAGATGATTTCTAATCATTGTAACATTTATGCAGCACTAATGCACCAGATAGAATGACATTTTGCCCTTAGCAGCAGGCCTCTACCTCACTCACAAGCATTTCAGCTTCAAATGAGCTGCCGCCATCTTAGTTTGTTCACTGAGTCGCCGTTACATCCCATCCACTAAACTGATTGGATTGGACAGACACAAGACTGGTCAGGCCTGCTGAGGCTCTAGTGGAGAGTGGCTAGACCAGGGGTGTCCAATCCTGGTCCTGGAGGGCCAGTATCCAGCAGGTTTTGTGGTTTTTCTACTCCAACAGACTTGATTCAGTGGTTGAAACACCTGTGCAGCAGCTCACCAGGCTCTCCAGAAGCCTGTTGAAATCAGGTGTGATGAAACAGAGTTCAAACTAAAACATCCGGGTCCCTCCAGGACCCGGATTGGACACCCCAGGGCTAGACTAACATGCAGAGCAAAATCAGTATAGATTGCAAGTCTAGAATGCATTGCAATATGACCTGTATTTGATATAGCGCCTTCTAGAGTCCTGGAACCCCCCAAGGCACTTTACAACACAATCAGTCATTCACCCATTCACACACCCATTCATACACTGGTGGGGATGAGCTACGATGTAGCCACAGCTGCCCTGGGGCACACTGACAGAGGCGAGGCTGCCGAGCACTGGCACCACCGGTCCCTCCAACCACCACCAGCAGGCAACGTGGGTTAAGTGTCTTGCCCAAGGACACAACGACAGCGACAGACTGAGCGGGACTCGAACCTGCAACCTTCCGATTATGGGGCGAGCACTTAACTCCTGTGCCACCGTCGCCCCTGCAAACTGGTGACACTCAAATGTTGTAACAGATATGACTCTCAGCTACTAATACACCAAAACATAACTCAGTATCTGTACAATTGACTGAGTTATAACCATTTATATTTTGCAAAAGCTGGGTTTTCAAACTCTATGTTCACTAATTCTATGATGTCTTCACCAGCTCAAACGTCTGATATAATCCCCTTCACGCTGTCTCAGAGGGGTCTCATCCAGATGGTCCTAGCTTATTACTGTAGAAAGGAGCACCAGAGATCAAACCTTCTTTGGTAATGCAGAAGCTTCGCTTCTCTTAAACCTCTCAAAATCTCAGTCATCCATGGAAGACCTCAAAATTCCAAATCTGCCATTTTTATCCTAATTTTCAAAAGTGCAATGAGTCAGAAGGATCAGCATAAGAAAAAATGTAATGGTTCACCAATGTGAATTTGAAACCATCTCAGCTGTAGAAAGTACACACACTGTGATGCTTTTTAATTTAGTGTTTGTAATTTTTAAGGATTTAGTGGAAGGATGTGTTGTTTTTGTTGTGTTGAAGCAATGGTTCTTCCCACATGACCTGTTTAAAGTGGAGCTATAGAAACTAAGGCCTGGAAAATATGTGACATTGTTTAATGTTGCGTTGGTGCAGCAGGCTGAGCCTTTGTTCACACTGCTGCACGGCACTGCCCTGCATGTAATACTGCATTGTTCCACTAGGGGGTGCACTAGAGACCTCAGACCGGAAAGAGCGGGTTTGTGGGTACAACCAAAACAAACATGGTGTCAATAAAATAGCTCACGAACTGGTTAGCTTTGAGATCACAATGGGAAAAAATAACACTGCAGCGGTAACCTTAGATGGTGATAGACGTCTAAATCAGAGAGGGAGTCACCATGGTCAGTGTGTCCTGTTTCGTCAACTCCACCTACTGGCTACTCGTATATTGCAGCGTTCGGACACGTCACATTGTGTTGCGTTAATTTCGGGGGACTCGTACAAACAACGCTTCAAATCAATGAAAGCAACACATGGCAGCCATTACAAACGCGTTTGCATCGTTAAACAGCAAGTATATCCCGGCCCTAAGGAACACTTTGGATTACACGGATTCGCTTTAGGAAGCCACGGAGCAAAAGCAGTTCTAGATAGTAACACTGGTGTGTTTGACTCGTGTTACCCAAGGCTAAGCATTGTTAATGAATAATTACCTATACCTATAATCATAATAACTTGTGATTCTTTAGTTCACACCGATAAAAGACCCTACAATAATTATTCACCTTGGATTCCACCTGCTTAGGGATACTTTTACACCTGGTTTCATTTTTCTGTAGCATTTGGAGGATTATTGCTGACTAATGTGACATTTCCATTAAATCTCTAACCAGCAGTCTGACCTCACTGGAGAAATCCTACACTGGTTCAGTCAGAGCGGAAGATTTCACCGCTTCTTAAGCTTTGACCTTTTTCCTTTTACTTTCATTTCTCATGAAAAAAGTTCCTTCTCTGAGGAGCACAAAGAACACAGACAAGAGCATTGTGATGATTCGTCGTCAGACTAAGAAGCCATGCAGAGCAGTTATGGCTTTTAAACCAGAAAGTCTGACAAGCTACCAAATGTAAAACCACCTACCTAGCTTTAATAACAAGTCAAATACCTCCAGCCTAAAAATCTCAAAGTCTGCTCCAGTTGGCATCATGAGAAAATATGTTGTTCGAAAACTGGCCAAACTTCTCAAACATGTATGCTGCAACAGGTCAGGTGTCTTTCAAATCCACTTCCAACTCAGCTAATCCATTCAATTCCACAGCGCACGTAGAAAAAGGGAAAATGTGATGATTTTGTGTTCTGACTCAGCAGAGACAAAGCAACAAGCTCTGACTCACCCAGGTGGGCAGGCGCATCCTGATACACAGGGCTCGTGTGCAGAGCAGGTGATGTTGAGCAGGTAGGATTCACAGGTACGTTCACATGCCACTCCCCTCCCAGACAAGAGGTTGTTCTCTCCCTCTGAGCAGTTCAGATACAGCTGACCCAGTGGGCACATTTTCTCTGCATAAAGTGAGGGAGAAATGTGAGGTTAATAAATAACAACTACCTTTTCAATCTGAAGCGTCACAGAGAAAATATGAAACCAGAGTTGTGAGTGTCGTACCTGTTTTTGGAGTTTGGGATACCAGTTTACCATTCAGACAGAGCCTGGTGGGGGGGAGCAAATCAAGCAAAAGTATTTAAACAAGACGCTTCTTTCATTGTTCATGAATTTTGGTCTTTGTGGGGTTTTTTAGATCACTAGAGGGTCAAAACATTTTAATCAGATGTTCAACAGGTTGATTAAATGAATATGTTCCATTATTTGAATTTTCTGCTGCCATAAGTAACTCAGATTATAACAAAGTGCTCCTACTAGTTTATAAATCACTCAATGGCATGGGACCAAAATGCATGTCCGATCTCATCCCTGTATATACACCCAGTAGGGCTCTGAGATCCCTTGGAAACAATCAGCTGGTAGAACCTCGGGTCAGAACAAAACATGGTGGAGATGCTTTTAGTTACTATGCTGCTCACATATGGACTCAGCTTCCCCATGACCTCAGATGTGCCCCATCTCTAGTGTTGTTTAAATCAAAACTAAAAACCCTCATGTAGTCATCAGCCTTCTTTCTTACCATGCGTCGTCTCCATTGTAATCTGCGCTGTAACTTGGTCTTCTCCTTTAGCTCTAAACTTTAATTCTACCTACGTGTATTTTAATTTGTGTTTTTATGTGTTTTCATATCATGTCCTGATAATTGTAAAGCACGTTGAATTGCCCCTGTGTTTGAAATGTGCTCCATAAATTAAGCTGCCTTGCCTTGCCTTATTTGCCAAAGACCTTGCACATTTCTCCACCTTTTTTTAAGAAGTTTTACCAGCCACTGAACATTCCTCCTCTCCTGACATTAACTTTTTACTTCCTTTAACGTAGGAAGTGCTACTACTAGCTCACCTGTTGAATTACTTACAGATCCACTCAGATAAAGACAATATGCATGCGTGCCTCTGCTTTGTATTCTCAGATCCCCAGTGAGTCTTGGCAGATGGCTGCTCATGTAAGCTAGGTTCTTCCTGTTAAAAGGGTGTTTTCCTCTCCACTGTCACTAGATGCTTTCTCAGTATGAGGATTGCTGTAAACACTCTGACACTAGTCAGTGACTCGGTGCAAACTGCTGGGTTCCTTATGTAGGAAACCTTTAACTAATCGGCACAATGAACTGAACTCAACTGGAATGTTTACTTTGTGAAGTGCCTTGAGACGACTCTTGCACGAGTGTAGTAAACGTTTAAAAACACAGGAACTGAAGGAGGATCTTACTGAACACCTGCTGATGTCATGATTACATCTCCTGGTTCATAATCTGCTCCAAGAAAACTGCAGGGACACTCGCTCCTGAAAAGTCAAGAATAAACAGAAACACACAATTTCACCGACCTCTGGTTGATTATGAGCTTTAGGCTTAGATCAGGTAGGGAACAAGAATTAGCACAAAACATGCTTGTTTGCATAACCATTTTGAACCTCTGAACAATAGAATTATCCAGATTACTATGTAAAAAAAATAATAGTTAGCATTAAAATACTTCATAACTTTAGGTAATAAAAAGTGCCTCTATGCAAGTGGATGGCAAATTAATATCAATAGATGAAATACCACTCTGGCCAATGATAACTTTTTAGAAATGCAGATAATACAGATGATTTTTGGCACCACATAATTAATCGTTTTGTATTCAATTATTCAAAGAAACATTATTAATCAAAACAGAACACCAGGCTTGGCATGATGCAAGCCACATGCTGCAGTTTGCTCCTTAATGTGTTAAGAAGAGTGTTAAAGTGGGCTTTGTGTTACCTTAAACAGAGTATTAATGGTAAGTGGATAAGGGGCAGATAGGGGTGGGGTTTAGGGGGTGAAATCATGCCTGAAGGTGTGGAATCAAAAAAGCAAGCCATCTTCAGAAATCTGAAGTGTTCAGGCACACATTTTTAAAATAAAAACAAACAGAAGACAGTGAACTTGTGTTAAAATGTTTAGCTGAGGCTAAAAGCCTTTGTAACATATAGGCCAGTGCTCAGTCTCTGTACTACAAATTCTTTCTCACTGGTTATCGGATATCTGCATCGTCCCCAGCCCAAGAGGGAATGAAAAGGGGGTTTCACGGTGAATTCCTGGATGTAACTCTATCACATGGTAAGTAAGGCACGGCGCTGCACTAGGATGTAAAAACCTGGGACATTTAAGAGGAATTAAGCTGCAAATCTTCTAGGGCGGAGCAGACTGAAAGGGACAGCAGACGTTATAGAGCTCCAGAGGTCCTCTAGCTCTATAATGTCTGCAGGAA